CAAACCACGTAGACGAAACATTTCAAACATTTCTATGCGCTTGCTTCATACGCGTGGTACAAAGCGAATAAGCCATCAGGTTTGCATGGGGGGTAGTAGCCGCGCATAACGCTTTCGGCATTTTGCAGCCACTTACCGCGCTCTATAGACGCCTCTCTGTTTGCTTGAGGGTGTCGACCAGCCTCTGCGGCTTTGCAGCTCTCATAGCCTCCGGTTTCACTTTTCCGCACTGCTGCACCAGTGAAGCTTCGCGAGCCCGCAACTCAGGATCTGCTCGCCTGCGTTGCAGTGCTGCAGCCGGTCTGCGAGCCCTGAGCCAAGCATGCTCTTTTGACGCATGCAGCTCCGCATGAAAAGCAATTCGTAATCATATCTTTGGGGGGGGGGGGGGTTGCGTCCTCCCACGTTCTGCCCAAAAGTAGCAAGTAATATGGAGCAGTGGGAGGCTGCCTTGCGCAGCTCGAAAGCGGACGTTCACGAGACCATCCTGGGTTGGGCTGAGAAGCTTATGGAAGACTACCGAGCGTAGCAACCTTTCCTCACCTCTGTCCCAATGCCTCTTTCTTTTCCATGAGAAAATAATGCATTTACCACCACAACCACACTTTCTTTGTTGTCAAAAAGAGAGAGAGACAGAGAGATCACACGCTGGTAGCGAATGACACAGTAGCGCCGCTAGCGATCTGCACTGAAACCCAGAGCGCGCGGCGGGAAAGATCGCTTCATTGGCTTCCTGTTCAAAGAAACATATCGGGTGCTGGAACGGAGCACGTGCAGTAGCGAATGTCTCGCTGGTGCTTCACTTCTAAAAAATCGGGGACTCTTGAGGTTCACCTGCACGCGATAGCGATACCCTGTCCCTAATGCTTACTTCAACCCTTTAGTGCACACTTTTTATGGTTCATTCATATTCAATAGGTTGAAATATGTATTTCTACAATGCGATTTATAAAGTTCAAAATGGTTTACGTCAGTAAAGCTTTTGAATATTGGTGCATTCTCTGTAATGGGTAGTATGCTTCAAATGACGAGCGTTTAGTCTTTTCAAACTAGCTATGCACCCACTATATACGTGGTCTCGAGGAAATACGAGGAGTAACTTGTGTGCCATTTGTGATGAAGGGGGGGCGTTAAACGACAACGTCGTTTTAATAATTGTATGTTTTGACTCTTGATTGTTCGTGGCACGGAATATTACTGCGTCGTTGCATGATGTAATGTGTAGTCTGTATGCAGGACGCGTGTGTTTGTAAAGGAATGGAAGTTACTTTCACTACATTTCCAAGCAGAGGAAGTTATTTTTTTTTACTCTAATCACCAGAGGACGCGCTACTTTGTGGTAGAACACCTGCTTGCCTACACAGACACGTAGTTTTGACCCCCACGCGACTCGTTAATTTTTAATATTTTTTATTGCATTGGTACCTTTCACGATTTGTCATGATTTCGCGATTTCAAGCGCAAGTTGGTTATTTTTTTCGCTCACAACCAGCAACGTGACATTGACGCCGACGCGAGAATTTCAGCGAAATGAGTTCTTCAACGCTATCACGGTAATAGCCAATAGAATCACATAAAAATAAAAAAAAATAAAACGAATGGTCTTGAAGCTAACCTTGGAATGTATTTGCAAAAAAATGAAAGGCCTACCCCAGCACGGATGTGCCCGTAGATTTGTGATGGGCGAAAACGCTCAATTTCAGTGCGAGTTTTTCGTATCTTAAGCATGGACGACCATGTCGCGTTGGCTACTGTGTGTTATTCGACTCGAGCCACTCTAGGCAGAGAGTCAACGTAATACAAAGTTGAATTGCTTAGCTATAGCCTAGCAAAGATCGTGAAACTACTGAGAACATGCAGCAGCAAGCTAAAGTCTACAAACAACCTACAAGCAATAAGAGTAGTCTTTAAAGTCGTCTGCTTCAAGCTTAGCCATTGCCCCGCCGTGGTGGTCTAGTGGCTAAGGTACTCGGCTGCTGACCCGCAGGGCGCGGGTTCGAATCCCGGCTGCGGCGGCTGCATTTCCGATGGAGGCGGAAATGTTGTAGGCCCGTGTGCTCAGATTTGGGTGCACGGTAAAGAACCCCAGGTGGTCTAAATTTCCGGAGCCCTCCACAACGGCGTCTCTCATAATCATATAGTGGTTTTGGGACGTTAAACCCCACATATCAATCAAGCTTAGCCATTTATTTTATAATGACGACCGTCTTATGTGACAACCAGACGCACGGACAGAAAGAAAGCTTTGTAGTTCGGTGGGCACGGAATACTTATGCATTGAAGATGCTTATTTTACTCTGTGACATGTATGTGTTACATGAGTATTTTGCTTTGTTGTAATATAGTGGAACACCTGCACAAAACTTGACTCGGCTAACAAGTGAATGTCATTCGTAATACACCCACATCCACCAAGGCAACTTTGGTAAATACGAAGTCAAAGGGACGATCACGAGGGAATTCAGCCGTGTATGGCTGGGTTCGCTGAATGTGAATTGTTTTCAATTTCAAATGTTTATATGCAAATGAAAAGTTCCATTCTGAGATAGGCAGATCAATAATTTTATACTAAATATCGACAATAGCGGGGTAACATTTTTGCTGCCATACTGATGAGAGGTATATTGTTGACTTAAGCACACAAGAAAAAAAATTATTAGAACAGACGAATCAGCAGAAAAAAAAGTTTTCTTTTCAGTGTGAGTTTTTCAGGGCTTGGCTCTTGTGAAAAAAAAACACTCTAATTAAAATACAACTAACATCATCAACAAAGAGATCAGAGTTGTGCTGGTATTACGCAAATTTAAAAAGTATGATGCATAAACAGTGTTTCAAGTTAGATGTAAGTACTCCAGTGTACCTCCGTACTTGCCTAAAGGGGCCCTGCAACACTTTCGTCTGCATTCTGCAATGCTGGAGTTTATGCAGGGCCGAATACTGACATGAATGCAAAACAAATGATCAAAATCGGTACACAGTAACAAAATCTAATAGCTCTCAAAATTCAAACGACCAGCACAAGGGGTTAAAACACGTTCTTTTTCGCATTTTATTCTTCCATTGACATTGAAGGCTGTTTGCTATACCCGCGCACCTCTCACAAAGACGCACCGCAAGACTCATTTCGTTGTGGCTACAGATCGTCACTGTGCAGAACTGGTAGCGTCGTTTCGCTATTGATTTTACAGTTTTATAATTAAAAACTGAATTAATAGATTCACCTCGTAATGGCTCCAGGTGACCCTCGTGCAGCACTGCTAGCGTCGTTTTGCAATTGATTTTACATCTTTATATATAAAACTGAAATAATATTGTATCTGATGAAGCGTAAAGAGGGGTTTTTAAATTTTAGCACCGAAGAGTGTGCCCTATTTGGGATGGTATGAATGTCTCGCACGACTTCTCACGTGAAATAAATCGAAACGCATTGCCTATGTACTCACTTCCAATTGAACAAATGTCCCTTTCGATCTCAAAAATTAACACAGTGTGTCGCTCTATTCCGAAAACAGTGTGGTTTCTTCGTAGGAATAAAATGGTAATAGCTCTCTTAGCAGCATTTCCACTCACACATTGATATCGGCGAATTCTACAGTTTGTAAACAAGGGATAAAAAAACCCTAATTTGTGTCTTAGGAACACTTTAACAGATTGGGAACAGATTGAATGAGCTGGTAATGGCCGGCAACTCATAGGTTCAGGATGATACAGCCCTTTCGAATTGTGATGACAAATAAGTGCGAAATAAAGACTGAATGCGTCCAATAGAGAACGGAGTTTTGGTTTAAGGATCAGCACTCAGAAGACAATGGTAATTAATCGGAGAGTGCTATATAGGCGATTTTTTTACTTCATCTCTTTAGAACAAAATAGTCCTGTGCAAAACAGTCCTACTTCACGATATGTTGCCTCGAGTGAGATAGCCTGTTCAACGAAAAGGTCCTCTGCCCCGTCAAGATAGCGCCCCTTTTATACTAAAAGAAAAAAAAAGGAGGGTCAAGTGCTTGGTGTGAGATATTACGAAAAACAAAGCCTGAAAATTCACTCATCTTAAAAAACAAACGAAGATTGTGTCGATTTCCACTGGAAGAGAAGGTGACGAGATAGAGCCTTCAACAGCCACCACACCAGTGATTACGGAGGACATAGTCCCTGCGTCTTGCTTTTTTTAATTTTGAACGTTGGGTGCTAAACCTGATTTCTCGCCTGCGATAAAGCTATAAATGAATATTTACATGAAAGACCGTGCTCATTTTAGTCACGAGTATACGCAGTACTTTCATAACTAAAATTTCCTGCATTAAGGCACTGTGCAGATGTCAGATCTTCGAGTATTCAAAAAGGAATGGCTGATTAACCTGTAAGCTCTCTTTGTTACTGCCGCGAATTTTGTAACTCACGTATTCAAAATGGTTGTATGGAAGGTCATACCTCGTGGGAATGAATTTTTCTAACAAAAACAGTTGAAAAGTAAGCGTTTCCCTAATTCTCTCAAAACACACTCGTGCTTAGGTGCAGTTTCTGCACGTATTAACGGATGCTCTTTTACTTGTATGTGTTCTAGGCTCTGCTCTGTTATGCCTTGCAGCTAGTAAAGATGCTAGCAGCAATTCGTACTTTGTCGTTTGATATAATGAAAACTACTTCAGAAGCCATGCGTACACTTTGGCCACCGGCAGGTTACAACTGCCATTATAAAAAAAAATTGTGCTTCCCCTTGTCTCAAGAGTTGCCGACTTTATGTGACTATCATAAAGAGCCACCATAGCCATTACTTCCCCGTTCTTTGTGCTAAATGTTTCTTTCCAGCGTTGTATAATGTCCTCCGTAAATACCATCAAAGAAACAACCTAGACTGCACCGGTTGATTACATTTCGGAAGAGAATTATTTAAGTTTAATGTCCATGCCATATAGAGAAAAGAATGATTAAAAGTTCGACATCAATACATTTATCTATCGCTTCTCTGACCTCAATTTTTAGAAAAAAAAGTACAGAGCTTCCCAGATAATAAGTAAGCCATATATAGAAATCGCACTTTCTACTGCAGAGAAGGACATTTTTCCGTTGAACAGGAGGAGATGTCTACTATTTTCAGGTTCACCGTGCTTGCTCTGATTACTGCCACGAGAACACTATGCAATGCAGCTGAAATGAACAGTGAAGAATCTGCTCGTACTTCTCAAGAAGTTCTACCAAACGTATTTAAAGAGGTAAGGCAATTCATACGCGTTTCTCTGAGAATACGATGAGGATTAACAAGTGTCATGGCCATGTGTTGGGCGTGCACTGCGCCTAAGTTTCCTCTTCGGCCCAACTAACGGAATCATTAATCTGAATAATAATGCATTTCAGATGTTTTTGTCTACCGGGGCGTTTCAAAAAGCGTCCTCAATGATAAAAAATTGGCGCAACCCAATATTCCTTCAGTTCAGTGGCTTCGCATTCAGTTCTTTTGTAGCTGCAAATATCTTCAAATGGCTAAATGCATCATTTCAGACAGCGATAACAACTTTAAATAAAAAATAACGTTCTAAATAATACACCGGTTTGGTTATGAAGAAAGGGAGAATGGAAGTATAATGCAAACAACCCAATGCTTTATGGGATTTAGAAAAAAAACTGGCATCTAATAATAATATGAAGTAATGATATCCGCACATCAGTGTTTTTTAAAATAAACTAGAAGGGATTCTTCTGCTACAATGGTTCAGTGACCATGGGAATGATGGGTAGTACACAGATTCGCCAGCTCTTCGTCGGCGGAAAATCACAGTTGTGGCTAGGTTGATTGCTGTGTTTAGCTTTAGGGGCGAAGCTCTTTATAGCGGCACCCGTTCGTCCTTCGTAACCTGTGCTGTAGTGTGTAACAAGTATAACATTTTGACCTCCAAGGTGGTGCCGGTGAGATATTTCTTTGGTGCGTTGTTGAACAATAAAAAAATAGTGCTGAATGTACACGCCAACGGGAGCTAATGGGGAATGAGAGACAGAAGCACTCGGCTTTTAATTAAGGCGCACGCTGCAATCCCCATTAGCAGCCATTGGCAAGTACAATAAGCACTATCTGAGAAGAAAGGGTTGCTGCTGGGTGTAACCTCCTTAGTTTTAGGAAGGTTTAGCGAGCGTTGAGCCGCAGTGCCACGAATACAATGAACTAGTATATACCATGATATCGAGGTGGTTAAACGTGGGAGGTAGAGACGAAGCGCAAGCCGTAAGAAAGTGTGCGTGTGCCACCTCTCGGTTAGTCCTTGGAATGTCCGCTGGATGGCGGTGCTTCTATATGGGGAATATATTATAAAAACATGTGAGATGGTGGTACTTGGAGTGTTGAACAGATGGATGAACGAAAACACAGAGAGATTCACGGATGGACACATGAACGGACTCATGGACGAACGCAGGGACAGACGCATGAACAGACGCACGCACGGACGGGCGGATGGACGCATGGACGGTAACACAGACGGACGCATGGACGGATGGAAGCAAGAACGAATGGACCGACGAATGCTTCGCCCCACTCTCCATCATTCACTCCGTGGATGTGCTGCCAATTTGTTTGTTTCGAAAAAAAGAACGAACCTTTTTTATCTTTGTGACCTGATTTTAAATGATACGCCTAAAAAATGAAAGGGGCCAAGCGCAACCGCTGAACATTTTTTTTTGTTACTTTTGTTTCGTGAGAAAATAGTTCCAAGCCACACCAACACACACAGAGCCACTTGTACGGAGATTAGACAAGTCTATGTTCTACCCATCATTACCATGCTCGCTGAAACACCGTGAGTTGTAGCTCCCATAGACAGCAGCGCCAAAGTTTCCTCAAGTGTTTGTTTAGGAAACGCTATGATCCGCACAAGTTTGGCGCCAATATCAAAATAGAAACGTGGACGAGCACAACTAATGTAGTCTTACGAAACGCCTAAATTCAGTGAGCACCGTTATATTAATTATGAGACTAGTTAGTTGTGTGAGTGTGCAGGTGTTGCTTCCAGTTAGAGCAAGAAAGACGCAGGTGCGTTTACGAACGTGGTACTACACTTCTGGAACCATTGCCTTGAGCAGTGACGCCATTGTAGTCGTTTGTTTGCTGCACCAATTGGGCCTACGCTTTCGTAATAACAGTTTTTGATCACGTTTAGCCTTCTAAAACCATGATATGAATACGAGAGATGCCGTAGGGGAGGACTTAGCAAATTTCGACCACCTAGGGTTCTTTATCATGCGCCTTACTTCAACTAAATGAGCCGTGAGAATTAGGTTCTGTCTCATCAAAAATGTTAGTGCCACGGCCGGGATTTCATCTCATGATCTGTGAGTGAGCTGTCGATCACCATGCATAACCATGAAACCACTGTGGTGGCTTGGCATTACAGTTTTCCAGTCATATCTTGTCGTTTTCCTACCGAAAACGGTCGTGTGATTGAAGAGTGACTTACTAGATTTGAATTTGATGCAACTGCGGCCGTGAACAGCCATACTGCTTCCCAGGTCCTCACTTTAATGCGCATTGTGTTCTTTCAACTGCCTATTTACAAACTTTCACGTCTGCTCTACTTAGAAGTTCCCACCGGCCGGTAGAATGCAGTGACTATCAAGAGTGTTGCTCTCAAAGAAATGTTTCGTGTGTTTAACTTCACAAACCTCATTTCGTTTCCCCTGGCTTCTTACCATACTGAAAAAAACTTTCAAGTTCAGATGCTGTGCAAGATACACGCTGGCGCCTTGGTACACGGCCTCTTTCTTCTTGTTAGATAAGCTTTACGGTTTTTTCCGCGCCATGCAAATTTGTCACGTTGTTATCGTACACTCATGCTCTTCTATGCCAAACTGAAGTGGTGACCATAGGAGCACCCAGACGAAGTGGGCTGTATAGATACAAAAAAAACGGGAAAATATCGTTACTTACACAGTTGAAGGTGCCTTCGGTTTAGAACATCAAGTGGCGACCACGCGTCCTCGTCGTCGCCCCCCCCCCCCCCCCTAAAAAAGAGCATCATTGCTGCTGGCTGGTGTCTGCATATCGGTAAAATCTATGAGTACAACGCTTGCTGAAGTTTCAATGCCAGAGTGACGCAGGCTAGGTAGGCGTTTTGTACGTGAAACTACGATAAGCTTCTGTTATGCTAATATGCTGAGAACGACTGCAGGGATTGTGCGAGCAGGTAGAGGAAAAAATTTTCCCAGACGGAATTTGTTTCATTTGACGCATTTGTTATAAAATAACAGTAGAAGGTTGTTAGAGAATAAAAGGAAGATGAAAATAGGAGGAAAAGCAAGACAGGAAAGTTAACCAGTCTATAGGCAGCCCGTTTGCTACTCTGCCCACGGGAGGGGGATGGCGGAGATAAAAGATAGAGAGGAGAGAGGGAGAGAGAAACACAGCGCATCAAGCAGCACACGCGCAGAGATTAAAGAGACATTCTCAAGGCGCTCTACCGCAGATCAGTTCAGGTCAAAGCTGGCCTTCCGCCGTAAAAAGAAAATCATTAAAATCATAAACCGTCACGCATCTTCGTACTTCTTTTCATCACCTTCCTTTTATTTTTCCATGTCAGAAGATGCGCACTGATTTTCTCTTGGAAGAGTGCAATCACAAGCGTGCGTAGGGTTTCCTTTCAGATTGGAGCGAAGGTTTTTCGCAACGACCCCCTCACTATAACACCAATGTATGGGGCTGGTTTTGCGCTCTTCCTCTCACCCCCCTAGATACACGTATGGATGCAATAATTCGATGACCAAGAGATCGAGTAGGGAGAGAGATCAAGCAAGAAAAGAAGAGAACGAGAAAAGAAAATTTCTTTAAAAAAATACAGAGGAGCTAAGCTAGCTGTAACGTATTCGAATCTATCACAAAAATAAAAAAACGGATATTTCACTGAAAGTGGGTACATGCCACTATTCGTCACTGGTCCACTAAAAAAGATGAAAGTAAGTTAGCCCAAAAACAGAAAATGGTGAATGCAATGACGGCTAGAAAACACCGTCAGGATTGAAGGTCAGCGCCAATAACCACGTGCCGTTTGACTTATGAGAGGCGTGAGCGGTTGGTTTTCAGCGTGAGTTAATCTCTCGCTTGAGATCCTTGACGTAATGATGACTGTATCAGGATGCGTGCGCTGGTTTACAGCGTGAATTTCTATCTCTAGGGTTTAGACGCCTCTGTCGTGTCTACGGCTGCGCGTGGTTTAACTAGTGAGATGTGAGCTTCCCGGGACGGCTTTATGCTCTCCCATAGTAAAGTAAAATAGTGCTCCAAATCGTTCACCACTTTTTCCAAGCACAACTCGAACCTGTCGGCGAAGTAAATAAGCATAGAAACAATCAAGCGTCTCCGAAAAAAAGCTCACGGACAGTTGGAAGCAACCTATAGACATATTATTATTCTCCTAGTTAAGGGCTAGAAGCAACCTACGAGCAACTATATTATTCTTTAGAATTCTTCAGCTATGCGGTTTCAAGGCTTGCGCAGCTTAATCCTGAGCGAAAGCACCGCCATTTCTTTGCCGAGGCGAGGTTATACCTTCCGTACCCTTGATACCAATGCGAATTTCCTAACCACACGTCTACCCACAGAGCACAGCCTTGTTTAGTATAGAACAGTGAGTTAGTCGGAGAAGGAAATGAGAAGGAGGTGAATAGAAGTTAGGGTAAAAATGTAAGAAAGGATGATCGGAGAATGTGCACAGAGAGAGAACGTAAGAGGAGCAGGAAATTAGAAAAAAAAAGAGTGAAGAGGACAAGAGTGAGAGATTGACTTTAGAGAAAAAAAAAAGAGCAAGATTGAAGTGAGGAAGAAAAGAAACATAAAAAAATTTCATCATCTCTCGCAAAACAGAATCACGTCTAGATGTGAAGCAGCGGTTGCTAACGCTTACAAGTGATGGCGTTAACACTGGCGCTCTTCGTGGCGTTGCGCCGTAGGAATACCTGGGGATGCGCAAAGCACGCAGTGATGAACCGGCGTTTTTTTACTGGAACATGCCAATTGTTTCTTATGAGCAATGAGAGACAGAAGACTCCAATTGGACACAGAGACCTGCAGTCCGCTTTTTGGTAAGGCGCACGCTGCGAATTTTAATGGCTCAGCAATGCACAGCAGATATATCCTATCAGCACTAGCTTGTAGGTCAAGATTATGGGCCTATATATACGGGTTGGGCAATGAAAGGTTGTGCAGCGGGAGCAGTCGGTATTTTCAGTAAAA